TGTTTCATGAAACAGCATTCGATTTTCCAAAGTTCCCATACCATTCAGATACATCCTTAGGGCCTTCCGAAAATCGAATGCTGTTTCATGAAACAATGCCTTACAGAGGTCAAAGACGTCTCATTTTGTTCAGAAATGTTTGCTCTATATGATGGAGTTATTTGCAACGAATTTTTCGATTGAACTCAGGGGTTTGGTTTTCTGAGATTTGGGTTTTCCAGAGACCCTCGTTTCAGAAGTTTCGATAAGACCTTTGTATACGTCACATCAGATCGGAAATTGTTTCAGCTATTCAAAGCTTTTTTCAAATTTCATCTAACTATTATGGTCGACGAGTAAAATGAAAAATAAAGGTGCACGAATAATGTCTGGACCCACTGTATGTTTAAGTGGCGAAGTATTTAACACACAAACCCGCTGCCAAGCTAAGTTAAGTTTACTATTAACAGACATTGTAGAGTTTTTCAAGGCGCATCGAATGATATATGAATGATTAGAGATCCTCTTTAGTTTCATAGAAAAAGGTGACAAAGAGTTCCAGTGGTATAGCCACGACCGATGGAAAAGTCTAGTATTAAATTTATAAAACATGCTGCCCCACTTCGTTAAGCTTCTTCTAAACACATATTGTAGAGCTATTCATGGCACGTCGAATGATGTATTGCGCTAGGCTTAATATAGGATGGTTACTGAGAAATGTTGATTTTACGGTCACACTGTGGGTGCTAAATCATCGCTCCTTTTCGAGTGGATTCTGTCGGGTATATTCGACTGAAAGCGCTCGGAAGGGTCGAAATCATCGAATATCATAAATGGATGTGATTCTGATGAGGTTTGGACCGACTGGAGCGGTTATTGTTAGTGGGCCGATTTCCATTCTTATGCGGACTTCACCTTTACATTAAAAGTCATTGGACAGAGTGACAACGCCTATTAAACCTATGTGTTTATCAATGTTTCACACTGGCTGCCCAATGTTACATAAAAAATCTCAGGTTTGCTGAATACCCGTTCCAGTTATAACTATCCCAGCACCGAGCATGTTACTGTAAGAAGCTTTCCGATTTTATCTAAAGAAGCCAATGGGCGATTTTTAATCAAGACAGTTTTTAAAAATTATCCTTTATCCTTTTTGTACCGCGCTATTCATTAGCGCCTATGCGTTTTGAAGACAGATCAGAAAGAAAGGCGAGAATATATTTGAGAGATCTGGATAGAAAGAACAGTTATACTAAGAGAACCATTAACAAAAGTTTATATTCGATAGAAATAGTAAGTATTACAGATGAATCGATAGATCTTGATGAGTCCAAACCCCATGCTTGCGATTCTCATAACTTTACCAAGCAGATTTTCTCCTGAAAATGACGAAAAGTTTTAGCCGAAAGATGAGTTTTGAAAATTATTGCTCGAACTTGTGGAACTAATGCTTTTACTTATCCTGTAGAGCATTCGACGTCGTACTGATTTCATCAATTTAACGAGAGTGCAGTCTTCATTTCAAATAGGAATTTGATTTTGAAATATCCTGGGACATAAAATTGAAAGTGTATGCTGAAGTGAAAATCGATTCATTTAGAAAAAAACTGATGCGTCTGATTTGTATCTATGAGTACTTGTAGAGAAAAGACTGAACTTCACATTTATTCACCTTATTTCAGAAGTTTAACGTTTCCATTAATAGATGCTGTCAAAAAATGATACTAGCACTATTTAAAAATGTCTCTGACGTGAACGATAAAAGATTTATGTATAATGTCGACTAACTATGTAAATTTATGGGACGAGACAAAAATTCAATGGGAAATCAGTCTGTTGCATTGTTGAACTGCTTAAATTCATTTATGAACTAACCTTGAGTTGTCATTTATCGATCGGGCGGCTTGTTATATTTCGCGCGGTTGGTCACATAATCTGGTTACTAATCTCGTCTCATTCTCTTAGTGCGTGATATTTTCTGAGAAAAACTGAGTAGTTCAAAATGGCAGATATCATTTCTTGTTCTTTTTACTTTGTTTTGTTAGCGGTAGCTTATCTCTTGTCACGGCGAAAAGATGATTTATAAATGCAACATAAAGTAATGTACTAAAAGTTATATCAGATCGACACAAAACAGTACAATCACTGTAATAGCTTTCATGCAAGTAACAAGAAATCAAGAAAACAAAAAAAACACAAAAATGACTCCTGTGTAGAAAGATGAAATAATCAGTTGCCGCTTGTTTCGTGGTTACTCGCGTCGATAATTAATTGCTGGAGCTAATGTATTCGTAATCCAATCGTTCACTACATGTTTTCTGATGTCTTCAATACCCTTTGCTTTTCGGTCATTGGCTGTTAAAATCATACAGGCAATTGATTGGGATCCGTTGATGGCACTAATTAAACCAAAACGTTGAGAGTATGCAGATGGTTTTTCAACAAGAACTAATAGTTGATTTTGTGGTGCCACAAGAGTTCGACGAGGATACATGTTGCAATAAACGACAGCTTTATCGATAAATATTAACCTATTATTAGCCAATCTTTGTAAACGTCTTCGAAGGCAATATCATGCCAATAATCATTATCAAATAAGATTAAAAAATGTTATTAAAAGACCATGAGCAAATCCACTACTAATGAAGTTGGGATATTTACTATCACGTGCTGTTAACTCCTTAGTTCTTTTGCTGTTAATACCACATTCTTGTCTACCGTATCTTTGAATCGTTTTCAATGGAACTTGCTTATTTAATGAGTTTTCAACGTGTTCTTGTATCATTCTGTAATTCACTGGTTTGTATTGCACGTTCATCTCATCGACAAAATTTAAAATGTAATCCGTTACTTGATCCTTTGTCATGGTACGTGGTCGACCATCTGTTCATTTTGGTTCCAATGATTCAACGGTGCCGTTCCATCTGGCATACCAGCTCATAATTAATTTATGACCACCTTTGATTTTAAAACGCTTTGCTAATGATCTGAACCCACATCCGTAAATTCCAGGACGATATTGTTGCAAAACGTTGTGTTTGAAATCACTGGTGTATTTACTATGTTTTGCCATCATCGAAACAGTGGACAGAAACAGTATGAAACCATTCGATAAATAGATAGGACGACTATTTATGTTCAAGAATTAATTGTTTAACATAGGAGTAGGCAACGAAACTGACGAGAGAAAAAGAACAAATTAATACTAGCCACAGAACAAGTCCAATGCTTCTTTGACCTTCGATTCTTGGCTTGACAGGTTATAACTAAATTTCATATAGATATTTCTATATCAATACCGAATACGAAGTTAAAATCATAGCCTTTCATGGAGCGGATAGAAATATCTGACAATGAGCTGTCAGATGTGCATATAAAAGTTGCGTATGTACACGTCTATTTACATGCAAGCAGAGAAAAACTAGGGATATGAGAGTCTAATTTTGCAGATTGTAGTGAAAAAAAATGCTATGTTTTGTTTTGATGCGGTTTTCTCGTTTCGATTTCTACCTGATCCATGATTGTCCTAGATCAAAAGATGCAGTCGAGTCTGCTCTTTCTTTCTATAGGTTTGGTTTTGAAAAAAGAACAGAAAATAGTGAAATAAAGTGAAAAATACTAATAAGGAAAAACCTATTGAGGCGCACAGTAGAATCAGTCACTTTTCTAAAGTATAGATCTCAATCGGGGTCTGTTGCACATCATTTTGCTGGAAGTAAATTTGAACCATTTTAATGGCGCATGTTTTGTACGAGAAATAAAATAACGTTTTAATTTGATTCAGTGTGATACTGATATAGAAAAAGACAGAAAAGCGATTTAATTAATAAATGGAATAAAAAAAATGCCTCTGAAATACATTTATTTTTATGATAGCATGATCATATTATGAATACAGGTACATGTGTGCAATGGTGATGACGACTGATTGAGTTTGCATGCTCATCATTTTAATGTGAAATATGAAGTTGTGTTAGTAAACATCTTTTAAAGAAACAAAAAAGTTAGCGTGGACTTGAAGCTTTAAATATGTACGAAACTCTGCGCCTTGTGCCAACGTTTTTGTGACCTAATACTACGGTAACCTCGACACGTATTAAGAAGCTAAATACTTTTAGTCATGAATCAAAAAAGTTTACTTTGGCCTTGGTCAAATTACATTGGACTGGATTTCACTTTGGACGTATATGTTCTATTTACATGGCAACTTCTCTCTTGTGTTCTTTTCCTATCCACGAAGAAATTCAAATAGGTTCAATAATAAATGTTTTAAAATAGTTTTACGGGTATCCCGACATTTGGGCGTACAATGTATTACACGACATTTGGGCGCAACGATAGTTGAAGTTCAAAGACGCCGGTGAGGGTGAGTGTGAGTATCGATGAAGATTAAAGAAACAGTGGTTACAGTTGGATATGAGTAATATAGAAAAAGCTCTCAAAGCATAAAAAGTTTGTTTAAAGAGAATTTTATCGTTTTGCAGCATACTTTACAAATCAAATGTCCATGTTTTCCATAATTTCTCTGAAAGTAAATAAAAGTTAACTACGAATTTGCACTAGAAAAAATGTAGTACCTTACTAGACTGAGTATATTTGATTACAAAATTTCTTCACGGTTGATACTGAAAATTTAATGCAATCTGTCTCACCACCTTGTAAAATAATTCCTAGATGATTTCGAAAATATTCTATGCAGTGTGGGCTAACTCTAGCAGTAACGGACGGTTGAATACTTGGATCGTTTGTCATTAGCAAAAAAAATGGTCGAGCATATAATTTTGCTAATAGATATAATGATTCTAAGCCAGATGACAGGAATTGAATACCTAAAAATTCAAAACTAACACGTGCAATACTTGCACATACCTTGTAATAATATTCATAAGGCACACCATCATCATCAACCAGCCCTGATTTTAAGTAAGATGCAACAGCAGCTGTAGCCCAAACATGTCCCATTTTATGTAAATGCGAAAATTGTTTTGATTGTTCACCATAATTATAAAATTGTTGGCTTATTTCTTCCAATAAATGCCATACATCCATATCATGATGAATACTATCGAATGAATTACTTCCGTGTGCAATCATCATTATGTTTACACCAACATATAGACCATTTGCATGTGCCAGAGTTGTTGGAGCTAATTGAGAGGCATATGTAAATAACAATTTATAACAAACATGTGCTGCTCTTTGTGGATTACTAATTAACAACAAAACAATATCACGCCATAAATAACGAAAAATCGATGGATCTAATTTTTTTTCATTAAATTTTTCTTTTAAGTTTTTTAGTTCTTGTTCGTTATTTGCTTGTTGTTGCTGTCCTATTATGGCACATAAATTTTGTTGAAATTGACATTGAAATGTTATTTTCATTTGAAGATCCTTTAATTTTGTCTTCATACCATTATTTTTGTTCGTAACATATTCGTACTGATCCAATGCTTGTTCAAGTTCGTTTTGTGCTTGTAGGTTATCACCGGAAACATGATATAATTCTGAGCATATTAAACGAACATAAAAAAGTTTATCAGAATCATCAGGATCTCGATTCAAGCTTGCTTCAACCAATGCACGACACAAATTACGTGGGGCATAATAATTACAATTATGAAACATCCAATTCTGTAACAGGGAATAATCGGATAAAATGTAATCCGGTGGAAATTTACAAACATAACCAGCTAATCGAGATGATATGCTATATATTGATCGATTCCTAAAGGAAAATCTAATGGCTATGCTCGAAAACATTGATTGATATCTTGTATGGGACTGTTCAAGTATTCATGTTTCAGCAACTGGATAAAAGGTACTTCATCCGTTGCGGTTTAGCTTTCACGTGTAGGAAAAGAATTGCCTTACGTTTGTTTTGCGAATGAGAGATTCTAAATACATACATCAGAAGTTGTTCTATTAACTCAGATGCAATCGGAGCTACATTCCTTGTGTTTCGCGAATCAGCTAAAAAAATCAGAAGGAATGTTTTCATTTTCCATGAATCTACCTCACACTCTACTTACAGGCGCGTGTTAATGAATTTTGCACATATTGCTCAGCAACTGCGTTAAGTGTTCTGTTTTCATCTTTAACTGAAATGGCATTTTCAATTTCATCGTTTGCTGCTTGATTTTCTAAAAACGAAGAAAAAAGCTTGCAATTTATAGTTGACAACAAATTCCGTCATACCAACTTAGTCGTACCTGCAACACCGAAATCTGTATTGTCAACCATGAAAACAATTTTTTTCAATTTTATTTTCAAAAGCTATAAAACAGAACGAATATAATTTATATACTTCGAAATTTTATTAGCGTCAAAATATAATTTATTCTTCATATCGTTCACTCGTCTGTTTCGTTTTTAATCTATGACTATAATAATTGGATACTTTATAGTTAGTTTAGTTTAAACTTTTATTTCGATACCTTGCATCAAGTGTAGACGAGTCTACTATATACTTTCTTGTTAGGTCAATTACTTCTCTAAACCTTACATATCATAACATAAATCTAACAGTAATCGTATCGGCAGGGTTGTATCCCGGATAAACTACGCACTGCACAGAAGGACTTCAGATTGATCAGATCTGATACGCAACGCTCCGATCGCCTTATACTTTTAAAGTGGTTTCTTGTTAGAACAGGCCTAATTCCGTTATTGTAGGAATTAGTGCTGATAGTTAACGCCGACTTTCAGTTAATAAATAACAGGAAAAACCACGAAAATTTTCTCACTTTCTGGCAGGGTCGGATCAAGACCAAAAACTTCGGATTCTATTACAAGAAAAAAGATTATTGAGGATCTTTACAACACCAAACATCTTGCCTGTCTAAATGTTCAATTACTGCCGTAAAAAAATACTGTATCTTATAAATGTATGCCTCGCTCTTCCTCTCTCGCTTTTATAATTTTCAAGAAACTCATTTATCATTACTATTACTCAGTTATAAGGTATTCTTAGTAGTCTTATGATGAAAATGAGGCTTTTCCACTGTATGTTTTAAAAGTTCTAATCAAACGATAAGTATTTTTCGTACTGCTGAAAAGTAGAGACCGCAAAACTCTCATCGTACCTCTTTTAAAAATAACTAAAATTTCTTCATTCTTTTATAAAGCAACATAACATTACTAGTTTTATAATAAGACGCAATACGAACGACCGATGAAATCATGTCACCGTTCGTTTGTATTGCGTCTTATTATTAATGAATGAATTATTCATTCAACTCACTTTTTCTCTCACTGAAAGGAGAACAAACTACGATATAGAACGTTTTTGTTTATAAGCTGCTATGATTACAGGCTGGAAGTAGAACGAAAGACCATACGACATAGTATTTTTTCTTCATTCAGAAGAAATGCTGGTATTTTCCAGGTAGGGAGGGCAAAAGGAATCATACAACGGTGATTTTGAATGCAACTTTTTGTTGAATTATTGGCAGGTACTACATAATTTTAAAGAAAGTGAGTTTTTATCTTTGACGGTATCGATGAACAGCTTGGTTTTTTCCCGGTTTTTCGACTATACAAGTTTAAGTTGTGTAAACCAGTAAATTCTCGAGTTAATACTTAAATTCTGTTGACCTCTTAATTATGGAAAACTTCATTCATCAAACTGCTGCTAATGGCTTTCAATTGGGTGCTGAAGTATACGAGCGAGGTCGACCAGCTTATCCTGATCTTGTTATAAATCTGATCTGTGCTACAAACCCGGATTTGTGTCAGAAAACAATAGTTGATTTAGCAGCTGGTACAGGAAAATTTACGCGCATGTTGGTTTCAGCCGGTGCTAAACTTGTTACGGCTATTGAGCCAGTTGAAAGTATGCGTAGAAAACTGTATTCAATTCCAAATATAGCAGTGCTAAACGGTACAGCTGAAAATATTCCATTAGTGGACAACAGCGTTGATATTGTTACTGTTGCTCAAGCTTTTCATTGGTTTAACGGAGTAGCAGCTCTAGAAGAAATTTATCGTGTACTTAAACCAGACGGTAAATTATATCTTCTTTGGAATTTGCGTGATGATGATACATGTCCTTGGTTACAGGATATGACGAAGATTATTGACAAATGGCAGCCAAAAGATCATCCACATTTCAAAACAATGAAATGGTTAAAAGTATTCGAGGATAATTCGTTATTTTCATCGTTCTCATACGAACGATTTTCTCATGATCAATGCGTAACACTTGATATTTTGTTTAACCGTATTCTTTCTAGTAGTTTTATATCAATTTTAGATGATAAGAAAAAGCAAATTCTTTTACAAGAAGTAAAAGCATTTCTTGAACAAAATGCACAGACAAAAGAAAAAACAAAATTTTTTGTACCCTATATGACTCATGTTTATTGGTGTCAACGATTGTAGATAGTTTTATGATTCCAGAATAAAGAAATCAAGAATTCCTAGACGCTTTTTTAATAGGCTGAACTTCGAATTACACGTCGTTTATAGAGACACCTAAATGGTTTAAATAAGGGGTACCTTGTGCATGTTAAAAAAGAAACAAGAGTTTTTAAGGATATTTATATAAAAAGAGAGAAGAGTTTTACTGCTCACTAAAGATAATGAGTGTTGTTAACTAGCCCAATTCTATAGAAATTGTAGGATTCAGCAAAACTAGTGTAATCGGCCTCATTTTCATGCTGCAGCGCCTCCTCTTCAATCAAATACTAGTAGAATTCCAATTTTAGTTAGACTGACCAGATTCTGCTCAAGTCTGCTAGAATTGTGCCAGTATCTGATACAACTGAATTAGACTGAATTGCTATCATCTTAGTTCAATATTAAGTGCAATCACTAACAACTTTGGTTTCAAATATATGCGTACAATAACCGTACAACGCGTCCTACAGTGACACTAATTTCGCACAAGGACGATAAAGAACTAATATTTGAAGCTAGAAGAAACGGATACATAGCACAATAAGAGTTCAACCCGTTGAATCGACTAGCATATGACTATACCATAATCTGATTAATAATCATGCCTTACGTGGAAATCAGTGGCTTTATCTGTTGACTTAATTAATCTGTTGACCCCTTAATTAGCAGGAGTGCAACTAGAGAGACAAAAAAAAGAGATAAAAGACAAAAATTTCAAACTTGTCATTAATCGAAAACGTTGCTTTAACTCCTTCATTCATTGTTTTCTAAATTTTGGGCAGAAAGGGAATCCTCATAGTCAAACTCATACCCCTTTGGAATATTCACTCATGCACGGCTGGTTTTGAAATTTTGACCCTGACGCTTTTGGTAAACTTTTAAAACATCAAAGAAAGCCACTGATTTCCACGTAAGGCATGATTATTAATCAGATTATGGTATAGTCATATGCTAGTCGATTCAAAAATTCGTTTTTGTTTTGTGTAAAATTTTTCTGTTATTTAAAAGTGATCGAATTTTGTGTTAGTCCCACTGAGAAGTGTAAACGAGTCATGAAAAAGGTGATTTTATTCTTACTCTTCACGCTTTTGTTTTGTTCTCATTCATTGATAAAAATTTCGAACTCATGGTTACTCTAATAATAAGGATCAGTATTTTATGGGTTTGTTTTTTATAGAGAAATAAAACAAATGAACATTAAAGGACCAGTGACCGCTAGCATATGTTCTGTCGTATTAATAATATCTTTCCTTGTCACTTTATTGATGATTTCCAATAAATTATATTATAAATTACTCGGAGAAAACATTGTATTTGTTACAAAAGATAATTTTGAATATTTAAACAATACCTACAAACTATTGACTATATTAGTTAATGGTCTACTACTCTTTTTTTCCTATTATTATGATGAATTTTCAGTTACAACAACCATTGACCTTTTGCAAACTACTCGTTTGAGGGTATTACTGTTTTTCATTATATATAATATGATTTATACAATATTTATTTCAAAATTTCCGACAACATTCGATCTAATTGCATCGATAGCATACGATGATATCTTCTGTGCACAAATGGTGACTATAAGACAAAGTCTGGCCTGTTGGACTTCAAATCCAATGGAAACAGATGAGTTCATATTATGGGCAGAACGGTTTAGGATTGTCGGCCTTATACAAATTACACTTAATTGTGGTTATAATGTGCTTGTTACATTTATTGAAAAGGAAACATTATACGTCAGTGATGTATTTACAATAAGAATTTTATTTAGTATTTATGTGTACGTCCATAATTTTTTTATGATGAATTATGCGTTTGATTTTTTACGGAAAATCTGGAATCGAGATCTCTCTGTTGATGCAACGTATTCTCCTCTTCAACGGGCAACTTTAGTAACACCTGAAATGAACAATGATGAACAAACTGGTGAAAACAATCAGAATGAGACCAGTTCATTGTTAACCAGCTCTTTTCACTCGACCATCCAAGATAGAAACAATTTAACGGATCAATCAGACTAACAGTACTCAGACTGCAAAGGTGGCTACTTCTGCAGAGCTCTTTAAGTTCCATCATAAATCCCTCAGACGCATATTTTTTATGGTAGAAGTAGCTCATTACTAAAATCTAGTAATGAGCGATCAAAGTGTCAAAGAACGATTTTCCTTCCTGACGCTTTTTTGATTTGTTTAATTTTCTTTTGGATTTGTTACATTCTATTTGTTGCGCTATATTTGTTGTTGTTTTGCATTTGCGATTCAAAGATTGTAGCACGTTCGCATCTGTTCATGCAATATCTGAGATTTATATTGTTTAAAAGATTAGTTGGTGAAATTACAAATTTTACTCATTCTTCTCCCTTCTCCTGTGCGAAAAATAATTTTGAATTACCGACACCTTATATAAATACATCTCACTAATGAATTAATTTTGGTTACTGTCATTATTATTCATCCAGGTGATCGATTTTCTTCACATGAAAATAAGCTGATTGTGGCCGTATTTATCGCAAAAATAAAAATTCTCAGATATAAGCGGTATTTATGCGATAAGAAGCCTATATATGAGAAAAAAAACAATACTGGGAAATATATCGGTATTAATACACTTCTATAGTTTTGTGAAAAAACAGTTCGTTATTGTATTTCCAATTGTACTGAAAAAAAATAATGAAGAGAAATAAGGGAATGATTCAAATTGATGATTTAGCCTTAAAAAAGACAACAATTTGTACCTCTTTCAAGAGAAAAAGAGCTAATTTAAAGAACGTTGATTATAAAAAATTAACAGGAGATCCAAAAATTGCATTTTTAAAAGATGTTGTCAATTATTTATAACAAAGTTCAAACACAAACATATCAGAATTAATAAATTTTTAATAAGATAATATATAACAAGAGTACAAAAAAATAATAACAATTGTAAAAAAGTGAGAAAACGAATAATAT